TTAAACTGGGATCAGACTAATGATGTAATAATCTGTTGGAATCAGTACAAACAACAACTTCATACTCTCTGAGAAAGGTCACACTGCTGTTATTTATCTTAGATTTATTAGTTCTGATGGCATTTATAATTTGGTTTGGATGCGCCAAACTTTTTGAAACGAATTTCCCTTCCATGTCTTGAACTGTCTGCGGCAGTTCTTCGAATCTAATTGAATTCTTCATAAAAGTATATTTTGGTAAACTTAAATTCAATAATATTTTAGCTTGGTCTGATTCATCAGTCGTATTATCCTGAGCAAAATCATCTCCACACTGTTGGAAAACTTCGTTATTAACCGTGTAAGTCACATTCAAGAAAGGATTATTCCAACGATTTGGCGCCATTTACGTTCTGATGAAAACCTTGCAGAATAATTAGTAGACCATTTGTATGGGCGGAGCCTTCCTGGCTCAAACGAAGTTTTACCTTTGGCCAGTGAGTGAAGTAGATGACCAGTCATCTTCTGTTTTCGACGAAGAACGAAAATTAATTCTAGCTAACTGTAATTGATACTGAGCCATTTTTCTACCTCTTAGAAAGATATTATCTAGAATTAAATGCATCTTCTCGTATTGTCTTCGATTTTGTCATAATTGAAAGAATCCCACAGATAAGAAAACTGGTTTGTTTAATTTATTTGATCTTCAGCAAGCTTTAGTTATTTGCATTGAATACTCTCACCATAAAAATTTTTAAAATGATATTGATAGGATTCTCCAAAATAAACTTAATTCTAAACTTCTTCGTAAACTAAATCATTTTCTTGATGAAACTGGAATTCTTAGAGTCGATGGTCAACTAGTGAGTTCTATTCTACCGTTGGTGTTGGAAAAAAACATCCGCTATATTACCTAGATATTGTCATTTAAGAAATCTTATTATTGGAAAAACTCATCGTGAAAATTTGCATCTAGGTGTTCAAACACTTCAATATTTGTTATCTCAAAATTATTATTAATTGTAGCCATTTATCGCCAACTTACCAGCTTCTCGTGTCTCTCAATTGGAGTTCATTTCATGCGTGACAGTAGATTTCTGTGACCCATTTACTATTACTCTTGGAAAACTAATAAAGAATATACAGGCTGTCTACTATAAGCGGGTCACTCCTATGGATGTCGCTTAATATACGACACACTTTAAAAATCTTTAAATGTTTTTTGTTGCATTTTCTTCGGCCTTTATGATCGTAAAAACATATGTGAGATCCATGGCTAACTTTAAGAGTAATCATAAAAAAACCGGAAAAGTACCGAAAGTTTAGGGCTGTTTAACTTTTTTCAGAAATAGAGAAAACTTATTTTAATAAAATTTTATGGTAAAATTGATACCTTTCACCTGGCATAAACAGATTTTTGAAGCATCGTATGTAATTTGCTGCGCTTTCTATACGGGCAAAAAAAATATCATAGCAGACTATAGCCACAAAAAATTATTTGTTTTTACATTACATTACATTTTTCATAATTTTATTATAAAAAAAAGTAAACATTTTCATGTTGCTTAAGTTAATTAGAAATTGTTTGTAGCCAACTACAAAAAATTTAATAAATATAATATACTTTTAAGCAAAATATAGATTTTCTTATCACATTATTATATTATTGGTGTTTACATTAGAGAATTAAACTTTCAACATTGCTCTTGTACAGACAAAGTAGCTGTGTAGCACGCTATAAAAACAAATGTATTACCCCAATCATGTTATCATTTGACAAATTATGTACATATAGTTGTCATACATAACTGTGGGGTTGAAAATTGTTACAATTCATTGTGATTTGAAAGACTGTAATTTTGAATAGTAATGGTATCTTCAAATATTGAAAAGTATGTTTGTGTTGTACTGTCAATGCAATTCCAAATCTATTCAAGCACTGACGGAATATAAAAATAGATTTCCAAATGCCCTCCAACCCAACAGATTACTTTCGAAGACGCGGATGAAGAAAATCTGTATTTTGCTTAAAAGAAGTACCTATATTTATTAATTTTTTGTAGTTGGCGTGTTTAAAACAACAACAAAAAATATTACAGTTGAACACTCGCCTCAAAGTCAACCGGTCGAAAAATCAATTTCGAAGAGGTTAGAGCGTTTACGTTGTCGGCCGGCAGAGTTTTTATGTTGCAATACTTACTCTCTGCACCCGCCCGCCATTAAATAGCGATGCTACTTCTTACAATTTGTGTTTTGTATGTGATATGCGTTTTATAATTTTTTAGACTATAATTACACAGCCACACAGAAAAAAAGGTCATATGGTTTTGACCGAACTAGTATATTCTAGAGTATTTTGATACGTCACATCTTTTTCTAACCTCAAAAGAATAGGTCAAAAATAGCAAAAATAGACGAAGGGGTATGAGAAAAAACAAAAAAAATATTTTTCACATTTCTTAGCATAGCTACATGTAATTGGGCTCGCTGAATCTAAATCCACCTTTAGAGATCATGCAACATACCTCATTTTTATCTAACCTCAAAAAAAATCGGCCAGAAATCGAGGTTTGCGAAAAACGAATAGAATCATGAAATCATTTGGTATGTAGGGGTTTTAGATTAATATTATATTGGATCCGTGGGCATTTTTAGGTTCGCTAATCACGAATTTGAATTCAGAATTGCAAAATTCTACATGCCGGATCCAATCAACAGATTAATCTCGAATTGGATACTGGGGGGTTCTGGGAGTTGCTGATCACGACTATGAACTCAGAATTACAAATACAAAATGGCGGATCTAATATGGCGGACCAGGATCCAATATGGTTGATTTTATGGATGCATGTATGCATCTTCAGATGAATGGCTTTTTTATAACAGGAATAAATGGACCTTTGAATGTATGGATCTTTGGATGTTAACAACTAACCAACTAAATCATACGCAAAGACAGTTCCTGATGAAGCTGCGAACCTCAAACCTAACATAACCTGCTCATGTAAATTCTATGGAATATGAAGCTCCTAATAAAACGCCAGATCTAGTATATCCTATGGTATTTTGACGCGCTTAATCCGAATCCACTGTCATAATTGCACTAACACGTCACATTTTTTTCTAACCTCAAAAAGTAGGTCAAAAATAGCAAAAATAAACGAAGTATGAGAAAAAATAAAAAAAAAATATTTTTCATATTTCCTAGCATAGCTATATGTAATTAGGCTCGCTGAATCCAAATCCGCCTTTAAAAATCACACAGCACAACTCATTTTTTTCTAAACTCAAAAAAATCGGTTAGAAATGAAGGTATGCAAGAAATTAATAAAATCATGAAAAATTTGGTATGTAGGGGTTTCAGATTAATGTTATTTTGGATCCATAGGGATCCGTAGGTTCGCTAATCACGAATTTGAATTCAAAATTGCAAAATTCAACATGGCGAATCCAATATGACGAACCAGGATCCAATATGGTTGATTTTGTGTACGAATGTACGCGTCTTCAGAAGGATGACTTTTTTAAAACAGGAATGTACGAATCTTTGGATGTTAGCATAACCTGCCCCACTATGTCCTACACAACCCTCTCGGAGCTGCGAACCCCAAACCTAACATAATTTGCTCATATAAATCATACGCAACAGCTAGCTGACAATCAAAGTGCAACCTCTAAACCTATCAGCGCGTCAAAATACTATAGAAAATACTAGTTTGGTCAAAACCATATGAGACTTTTTTATGTGTGGCTGTGTTATTATATTAATTGTTTGAAAAAAAAACACCAGATTCTCATCAAATATAATTGGGTAGTTTTATTTTAAGTACTATCGAAATGTAGTGAAAATGTGTTCAACATTATTATTTACAGTGAAAGTCCATTTAATAAATATTTGGCGCTCTTGCGAAATAATGTTCGAAGAATCAACAAATATCATAGAAAACAACAGACTAGTTTCCAATCAGTTGGAAGTGATCAAAATAATTCCCGTCGATTCAAGAAATTTTTGGTTTGGTACATGTTTAGGTTTATATACTTTGTTATATACATTCTCGTACTTTGTTTTAATTTAATTTAATTAATATACAGTGTAGGAAAGAGCCGATGGTCTATCACAAGTTACGTGAGAGCGATAAAGTAAGACATAGAAATCCATGCGATAAAGAAGGATGGCTATAATGAAGGCGTCCCGTTTCGCCCTTCCACAAATAAGATCCACTTCCACTTGTAATTCAGCGACCATCTTTGTTTTCGTCGTTTGCCTTTTCTGTAATATTTGACACTACTTGTACAATTCCAATTTGTACAGAGGGCAGCCCTCGACAGTGTGACGCCAGATCTACCGATTTTTTTGAAATTGGGGAAATAGGGAATTTTAACCATGTATAAGTACATCACTAATTCCTTCAATTTAGGGCCGGTTTTACAAGTAAAGAATAAGCAAAGAATAAGATTATTCTGGAGATAACTTGGAGAAACTGGTTTTACAACTTTCTTTTAATCTAGGAATAGAATAGAATTTATATAATGAAAGCCAAATACGCACTAGAAATACTGTGGAACGGTGTTTTGGTGTTTGGAAAAGGAGGCTTCCTATTTTATCTTTAGGTAAGCGTGTATCGTTACCAAAATCACAAGCCATTATTGTAGCTACTGCAGTATTACATAATATTGCAATTAGAGGAAATAATGAGTTACCTATGACTGAGATGGATCATGCACTCTATTATAATGAAGATGATGAAAATATTGAAATTCCAAATGAACATAATTTTGTGAATATGCGCAGAAATAATTTAATCCTGAATCACTGAGAATTTACTGCAAAATGTAAATTAGGAAAATTAAATAAAATCATATATACACCACATACGTTTTTAAATTATTTTGTAATATAAACCAATAAGTATTTAATTTTACAGAAAAAGCATTTTTGATGCGTCTTTTTAAGATAAGGTTGTCATGAACAATTTAACCTCTACGTGCAGGGTGTTTAGAAACTAAATAAATTTGAAGTATAAGAGTAAACTATCTTTATTTTTAACAATATTTGAATGAACATGAAAACATATGAAAGCATATAGATACATATGACCAAATGAGTAATACATATTTTTATCAAAATATTTAAGAAACGCAAGTTTACACTGATAATAAACTAAATTACAAAAGATGATGAATGAACAACTGCATGACATCATCCGTGACGTAAGTCGTTTTAATACAAGTATATATTCACAGTGAATTTTTTCACACTGACATTTACTTTTTAAAATTGTCATCTCCAATTCATGTTTCTCTGCATTTCTTTTTTTTCTCATTTCATGCTCTTTTTTGAGAAGTTCTATCTGCAGCGAGACCAATTCAATTTTTTTATCCAACAGGACTTCATGTTTGTTGCTGACAGTGTTTTCTGTAGTACTTCTATATTTTCGCTTACGAACTGACTTGGGAACACAATCGATATGTTCTAAAAATTATCCAAATATTAATCATTTATTTAAAACAAAGCATAACAAATTTACTTAACACTGAGCAAGCAGGTGTTGAGGGTAGCGACTCCTTAGTTTCAACAGCTCCTGTCAGTAATACGGGATGTATTGTTTTTTTTAACTGCGCAGGATTTCACTGATTCCATTTATCCTAGAAATGTATTAATTTTTAAAAATAACTCGTACATAAGTGGCTCATGATGTAAGAAAAAAATATTACAAGGCATTCCTTCTTTTTTTTATATATTGTGATAGAATTGTTTAAGGAATTAAAAGATATACTTTAAAATTTCTTTGTTACAATTTCATTTTCTTTGTTTTTGTCTTCGGACATCTCTTGCACTTGAGTCGAAGTGGAGGGCTGTGGCTCGTTTATTTGCAGAGATTGTTCTGGTAAGGTTCTGTCCTTATAATCTATTATAAGCAGTAAGAAGTTATATAAGCAAAGTTGTCAATTATTATTATTATTATTTCCCTATACGGACCTCACATACAGAGTCGTCACGTTCACAACCAATGTCCTGCACTATATTACGAAAAACAGCAGCATTTGTAGAAACTGAATTTGTTTCATATTCTGAAATAAAAAGAAAATCTTTCATAATATTCTATCTCAAATATTTTGTTTTGAAAACGTTTTAATATTTACAATCTTAGGCACTATAATACTATTTATTAGCATATTTTACCAATGACTAATTAAATTTATCCATCGTCTACCCCTCACCTGTATTATTTGAATCAAAAGGACACAACACTTAAAATCCTTTCCTCCCAATTGTCAAAACTATTATTGCTAAAGCCACCACCTGTTTTATACAAACTACTTTTTTTTAAACTGTAATTTTTCCTCGTTGTGGTCTTCCAAGAGTCCCACTTCATACGCAGTTGCTTTGCTGTTTGTCCAGACCCTGCAGCAGCATTAAATTTATTCGTTAACTTCTCCCACTCTGCATCCTTATCACGATTTGACACTGTATCTGTCTTCTTGCATTCTAAAAGTAAAGTTATAAATTTAACACTTGCTTACCTTTATTAATAAAAATGTTAATGATACATACCAATTATTCTTTTGTGTTCTTCAACGAGAGTCAACAAAATATCCATTTCACTACTACTAAAATTAGAACAACGGATGCGTTTTGTCGAATCCATATTCTTTGATTGTAATGATTATATCTTACACAAAAATTTAAACAACAAATACACAAGGAAGCCACACGAGGTTTAAAGAAGCAACAAGTTCAGAGGTTATGTTGAATTGTCAAACTATAAAGCTTGTACATAATTGGCGCGTGCGCAAAACAAATTTGTGCTACCAACTTCAAATATTTTTCCACTATTCTTGGAATACTTATTCGGGAATAGAAAGTTACAAAACTAGAGTTGTAAAACAGCGGTGGCTTATGCGCCAGTTAAATCGTAGGATAACTTTATGCTCGGAATACTTATTCTCTAGATAAATCTACACTTAGCCGTAAGGGCCGTAAAACCGGCCCTTAAGTGCAAGAAATTTAAATATTTTAGATATTTGTAGAAATGTAGGGATTTTTTAAAGCATAACTAGCGTTTATGTATCGAATTCATCTGGCATCACTGCCTGAAAGTTCAATCTCATTCTAGCTGTACTGGTAGAAAGTAATGCATGCCTTTTGTATATTCCCTCATTTAATTAATTTGTTGTTACTATGTTGATTTATACAACGGAGGAAAAGGTGGCAACAGTTAAATGGTTTTATGCATCCCATAGTGCCCAAGAAGTCGTTGGGCGATTTGCATTTTCATTTGAAAATCGGCCAATCCCTGCGGTGAAGACGATTTATCAAATCGTTCGCAGATTTGAGACGTCGGGGTGTGTAAATACCTGCAAAAAGTGCTACTCCAACGAACCTGCCAACGGCAGGCCATTGCCCGAGGCCAGGGTAGCACGTGAAACAGCTGTTTGCGGTATTGTGGAATCGAGTGTAGTAGTAGTAGTACCCAAATCGCGGAAGAAGTTGATATGCATGCACGAACAGTGCGAAATATTTTGAAGAGAAATGGGTATAAGTGTTACAGAGTACCAGAAACTCAAGAGCTATTTCTCTTAGACCAAACAAAACGTCTCGAGTTTTGTGAAATTATGAGGGAAAAAGTTGATTCGGACGAAAACTTTTTAAACCATATTTTGTTTACTGATGAATCATCTTTTTCTCTTCATAGGTCCTACAATTCTCAAACAACTCGTTACTGGTCTACGGAAAATAATCACTTGAGTATTCCTGTGCATTCACAGTACCCTGAGAAGTTAAATGTTTGGGCAGGTATTTTAGGAAATTCCGTGATTGGTCCGTTTTTCATAAATGGAAACCTAAATGCCGACAAATATTTAACTTTGCTTCAACTCGAAATTATTCCGGCTGTTCGAGCATTAAATATCAACTTTGAGGACGTGTGGTTTCAACAAGACGGTTGTCCCGCTCACAATGCACGTCGGGTAATCACCTTTTTGGAAACCACATTTCCTCAGCGGGTTATTAGTACAAGAGGCACTATTCCATGGCCTCCCAGATCCCCAGATTTATCGCCCAACGACTTCTTCCTTTGGGGGCATTTAAAACAGACCATTTACGGACATTTACATGATAGGCCAAGTAATTTAGTCGATTTACGGGCCCGAATTGTTGACGTCTTACATAATATTTCCCCTGAAATGCTGGGACGCGTAAGAAGCGAGTACTATGACAGATTAGGATATTGCGAGGCACAAAGGGGGGACATTTTTGAACAACTTATTAATTAAAAAGGAAAATGTTTGCTTTCTTTATTATTAAAAACCATACATTTTTATTTATTTTTTATTAAAAACCATAATTTTTTATTTCTTTTTTACGGCAATAAGTTTTAAGTTTATTTATGTTTTAGAGTTTTTGTATTACTTTCTACCAGGCCGGCTAATAAATAAATACAAAAGAGGAAAATAGTTGCAATTATTTTCGTACACTTTTAAGCGTATGAATAATAATTGTAAATAGTTAAATGTACGTAAGAATTTGCGTTGTCTTAATACGAGTAGTACGACACAACACAAGCATCCCAAGTTCATAGACATACTGAATACTGATTCTGTCTGATCTGAGGACGACGACCGGTCGCTCAGTTAAAATTTTGGCCTATAGCATGCGCTCGTCTCCTACTTATTTGTGAAAGGGTGACTATGAAACGCCTTCACTTTATCCATCCTTGTCCGTCACATGTATTTCTATGTCTTCCTTTATCGCTCTCACGTAACTTGTGATAGACCATCGGCACTTTCCTACACTGTATGTATATTCTATGTCAACCGGAACACCGTTCTCTCCAAAATTAAAAGCACGGAAAAAATACGTTTTAGGTCTCAAAGTGTTCATGAGCTTTCGAATAAACCATGACCATTTTTAGGAAAATTTCGAAATTCAAAAAGGCGACACAAATAATGACTATAATTAGAAATTAAAAAAAATTATAATTCAGTGCATAGCTTTACGAATTTGACATGCTGAATCCGAATTTCATATTCTTAAAGTCCAAGTGGTAGGAATTAGTAACAGACATTTTTGACCATTTTTTTGATATTTAAACCATATCTCTCTGGAAAAAAGTTTTTTTTTGTCTAAAAAGTAACTTCTTTTATGTTTTTTGACGTCCTGCTTTCAGCTATTGGACTATGTAGTCTAAAAAAATTAGGACAATTAAAACGAGCCATTTTTTTACCTTTTTGACCATATTTCTCCGGAAAAAATAATTTATTTTTATGATTGCTGACTTAGATTTTTGTTATCCCAAAGACTAATAAAATCTGGGTGATGAGATCTGACCATTTTATTTTACCATTTTTTGGCATTATTTGACCACATCTCCAGTAAAAAACATATTTGTCTGGAAAAAGCTGTTTTTATGTTTTTTGACATCATAATTTCCTATATTGGGATATTACAAATAAATTTGGGGTGTAAGAACTGGCCATTTTTTTACAATTTTTTTGGCATTTTCTGGCATTTTGTGGCATCAAGCCCCATACCTAACATAGCCTAAGGTGATCAACATCAAATCTAACAACTGTAAACCTAACATATCTACTTTTAATTGCCTAAATGCCTAATTTATCGGAACCCTAGTAGTTTGAACCTCCTAATTAATTTCCTAGGTGCCAAAAAATTGTCAAAAAATGGCCAGTTCTTACAAACCAAATTTATTTGTACTTTAAGATCCCAATAAGCGAAATTATGATGTCAAGAAATTTAAAAACAGCTTTTTCTAGACAAATATCATTTTTACCAGAGATGTGGTCAAAGAATGCCAAAAAATCGTAAAATAAAATACTCAGATCTCATCATCCACATTTTATTAGTTTCTAGGATAACAAAAAGCTAAGTCAGTATGTTAACAATCAGCTTCTTTTTTCCGGAGAAAGATGATAAAAAATGTCAAAAAATGGTCAAAAAATGGCCCGTTTTAATTGTATTAATTTTCTTAGACTACATAATCCAATAGCTGAAAGTCAGTACGTCAAAAAACATAAAAGAAGCTACTTTTAGACAAATAAAACCATTTTTTCCAGTGAGATATGGTTTAAATACATAAAAATGGTCAAAGATATCCGTTACTAATTCCTACCACTTTTGGACTTATAAGAATATGAAATTCGTATTCAGCATGTCCAAAATCGTAGAGTTTACTATTAAATTGGGGTATTTTCCATGGATAGATCATTTTAAGTTAGGTACTGAACGTATTTTTTCCTTACTTTTATTTTTAGAGAGAAGGATGTCCGGGTTGACATGGAACGATATACAGGGTTCTTCACGGTAAGTGGCCTATTAGTCGTTTCAGAGGAACCAAAGACAATGTGACTCTGAAATTTTGTTTACGGCGGTTATCAGATATGTTCTCTTCAATGAAAATAATGCCATCAACGTAGCACTTCCGATTATACCGGAAGTAGCTGTATTATTATAAATGGAACACCCTATAGGTTATTATTGCATTATCGACAAGATAAATTAAAAATAAGTCAAAAATGTTAAAGTTTCCCTGTACCTAAATCCAACCGTTTTCGAGATAATCGTCATTTTACAAAAAAATTGACAGATGCTAGCGCTTCGAAAATTCCTTATATCTTTCTTCGTTTTGGGAGCTTTCACTTGCTTTTCCGGATACACAAATAACATAACAGGCACTACCTTCCGCTATCAAAATTACCTGAAGAAAATTATACTAAGTGTCTCATTTTTTACGTTACATTTTGAAAACTTAAAACCGACAAAACTTTTTAAATTCAAATTGAACACCCTGTATTTTTC